TAGCAATGAATTGTTACCTTTTGTGTCTAATAACTTATTGCACTTAGCATTGCGTCATAATGATGAAGTGCAGCTCTAGCCATAAGTTCTGCGTTTGTTGATGGAATCCCCCAAGAAAGATTAGAATGACGATTCCCACTCTCCTTCGGAGACACAAAATAAATGAATATTAGGGTCCAAGTTTAAAATCCGACCGTCCCATAATAAGGGGGGTCCTAAGCTGAGGAGCTTACTCCAAAAGGATAATACAATTAGGCCAAAGATTCGTAGGTGAAAGTAACAAAATACAACATGTAAGATTAGAAAAGATAAATGTGCCGAGAATAAAGGAACACAATAAGACCTCTAATACTGTAGTCAGGGGAGACCTCATGCACACCACAAGTTATGTCTGCCTTCTTACATATTTTAACTCACAAGCGTGACTTTTACTTCAATTAAAAAGAGATAAATATCGATGTCAAATGAAATCCGAAAGCATAGCACCTGTAATCCAAGCATAACACAGCAGTACAATTTGTGAAATCGCCTTCATTTCATTGTAAACAATCATGCATTGTGAACAATCATTTCTTTACTATCACATGACCAAACTTAGGAACCAGAAAAATATATGTAGTCGTGAGTGACATTACCATAAATAGTTACAACACATAGGTGAGAGTGGACTTCCACACAGCAAATGACACTCTCGATTACTTCAACTCCACTAGAAAACCACTTCCGAGATGCATACAAATGCCGTTTTTCTTCAAGCAAGCAATGAAATACACTAGGAATTACATACACGGACCTTCTACTCTTGAAGAGCTTTCACACGAGCTGTGAGCTCTCTGACTTGGTTCCGAAGGCGGTCAGGGTTACAGAAGAAATCAACAAACACCTGCCTCTCTCGCCCAACCTCGTGTGGATGATGCTTTACAATCTACAAACATATTACGAGTTTAACTGTGAATCCTCCTGCTATTGCTTATAAGAATTTAACTATAGCTTCGTATGCAGAAATATGCAAAAGCAGATGGAGTTACAGTCATAGCTGTTTGTTTTGTTGTAACTGTAAACTTTTTTATTATTTAATAAATGTAGTTGCAAAAAAAATGCTTTACAGTCTACACAAAGGAAGAATTAACTGGGAATGCTCGCATTATAGGATAGAAAACTAATGTCTTACAATCTAAAAAAGACAGTTGTAGTTTGTTTGTTTCATTGCAACTAAGCTTTTTGCAACCGCAATTGTGAAAAGGAGTCACTTGTGCAAAACGTAAAAATAACCGAATTGATCACAAGTCATTTTTCTCAAAAAAAGAAAAGCCCCACTTTTTGCAATTGATGTTGCAAAGAATCTGCATGTGAAGGAAAACAAATAGCAGCAACTGAAATTGCACCCATTTATTTCCAAACAAATTCTAAATGTACTGAGTAAAATTAACTCATTTGTCTACTAAATGTAAAAAAAAAAAAATCTAAATCTACTCGAGAAATTAAAAAGTTATTTGGCTTCTAAATGTACTTTTGGTGCAAGCTGACTTAAGAGTCTAAAAGATTATATAATTACAAGTTGCCAAGTGCTATTCTGTAGGAAGTACTTAGAACAAATAGAAATTACCTCAGCCTTCTGACGATGTGCCTCTGTAACTTCTTCAACAGAAGCAGAGAGCTGCGCATTGACCTTTTCCATTTCATCAAGTGCTCGCATTAGATTCTGTGTATCAACATATAAATATCACAAAATAGATTAATAGTTTTCTAGAGGAAAGATGACAGAAAAAAGAATCTAGAAACTGAAAACTACTGCACTTGAAATCGAATATTTGAAATATTCAAATCCGCTTCCTATCTGCATTTATTTAAGTGAATAATGATAATAATCAGTGACCTGAAAGAAGTAAGGTAAATCCCTATCTATTCCGGTTATAAATGGAGTGGATACAGATATTGTGGTCCCTGTTTCGCTTCATTCTGCCCGTGTCATTTTTAGTAGTGGTATTTGTACACTAGTGCTGCATATATATATATATATATATATATATATAAAATAACTACTCTCTTGAATTTAGCATTACAGTATCAGCTTTTATTAATTTATATAAATCTAGCTATTTTAAGATTGCTTAGAATTATTGGGATGAAACGGAATATTTGGATATTCTCAGAAAGTCAAATAACATTTTCATATTTGAAGTCAGATATCAAGAGACCTGCTCCGTTTACACCACTAGGAAGATTGTAGATGTGCCTTTATAAAGACACAAACAGCTACTAACTGTAGCTATACAACACGGGCGTGTACTGGAACATTGACAATTGCGAGAACGATTTGAGGGACAGATTAAGCCATAAAATGCTAGGAATTAAGGTCTTTCACTAAAATAGAAACAGGATGAAGATAAAAAGTCACTGAACAGCATAGCAAAACATTTACCCTAGGTGTTAGTTCTGCAGTTTTTGATGATGTGAATAGAAGCTGCTCCAAACTTTGAATGAGAGTGCATCTGTCAGATGAAAGAGAAAAAGACTTGTCACACTTACACACCTTGACTTCACAATTTCTTTAACATCAGAAAAAAAGAGAGCATAAAAAATCAGCAACGTTCTGAAAAACTGATAGTGACCTACTTAGGTCATCAGAACTCAGGCAGGATGATAATATTGTGAATATCTGCAATAGATGCTTAAAAGTACTTACAGTTCATTAACACATCTTCTCCGGTCTTCTGGAAGAGAAGTTTCAAGTTCTAACTGAAGGGATAGTAAATCAGATTGCAATCCTGCTATCTGTTGAACTAAACCATGCGCTGAGACATACGTCGGTAATGAACCTTGAGCATCTACAAATTATACAGAATCAGTCTCCTAGGAAGTACATTTCAACCTATAAATGTAAAATGATTGCAAAGCAATAAGAGTTTCAGAATATACTTGAATGAATGCTTAAGAGATCTCGAACACCATGGAGGAAAGTATCACGGTCATCAACTGCACCTTGCTCTTGTACTTCAGAATCAGCTTGAACCATTGCTAGACAATGACCCTAATTAAAACAGTTGTAAAACTTAAGACACATAAAAACAAATTTTTGACAGAATGCAGAAAATTAAGTAACACGATAAAATTGGAGGTGATAAACACTTATACGCCCAACAATAACAGAATCAGTAATTGAAAAGCATTCATCAGGATATCCTTGAATCGCATGTTATGATTGTGTAGAAAGTAAGTCGTGAAACAAATTTGGCAAGCCAAGCACACTATTTGGTAGTAAAAGAGAAAAACAATTATTGGGAAGAAACATACCACACGACCAGTCGCCGTCGAAAGGTAACCTTGTAACTCTGATTCAATAACTTTAAGCAAGGAATAGGCACCGAGCATGGTCCTTCTCTCCAGTTGACAAGCTATTTTTAGAAAGCGGTGTCTCGCAAGCTGATTAACAAGATGGTTGATGAACTGCACAGGAATAAATTTATCCAAATAAGTTCATCAATTGTTTTAGCCAACATAGAATATTGGCTGATTACATCTTTAAGCAGATAACACAGACTAATGTTTGCAAGCAAGAGATATAAACTGAGATAAAAAGGTAAAGCCCAAGAATCTGAGACCAGTGGTATTTAAACAGGATTGGAGAATAACTAGTAGAGCAACATGTACAGCTTAAATTATATATCGCACCTTTCATCTTCTCAAGAAGAAATCTGTTTTACCTCTGCACTCATAGAAATCAAAGTAACTAAGACTAACTTTAGTCAACAAGAAACAGAATAACTATGGAAAGAAGGTTCGTATACCATGTCATTCACATGCTCTGACACACAATCCATTTCCCGTAAATATGAAACTAACTTCTTACTACTTTATCCTATAAGAACAGGGAGGTGAAATTACAAATCTGTTGCAGCAATCACGCAAGTTACACTGGAATTCTAGCTTCCACATCAGCACAGTTTGATTAACTAACAGATCTAACCTTGCTGATTAGAAAACTGATTCTCAATTTCTGTTATTTTTTAGGTTCATGCTGATTCATATAATCGGTCCGATGGGAAGTATCTATTTATCTCTATCTAGTGCAGACACATTAAACATGCCAACGTTTTGTGTAAGACAAATGCCAGACACACAAATTGGACATAAGGCTTCCGTTTTGTATGTAATTTATAGAACTCTATGTGTGTCACCATATTGTCTCATGTGACGTGTCCACATATCTGTGTCCATGCAACATATATCTGTATTGGATAAAGAATATGGATAGAAGTACTGTAATGCCCCGTTCAATATGCAGGAATCAAGCCAAGTGTGAATGGAATGAAGCAAGGAATGAAATAAAATAATGTGGTAATGGTCTCACTCTCATTCTCAAATTTGGGTGAAGTTAT